GAGAAGGAGTGAGGATGTCTTGGGTCTACTCACAGCAGACTCTTGGTTCTTGGGCCATCCCTGGTTTGTGATCAGCAGGATAAAGACTTCTGCTCCTTGTCAGTTCTTGCTGATGGTGAGTAGAATCCGCTCATCTTTTTCCTGGACTTTCTCCGTTAATATGACAGCCATGGCTGCCACTGCTGCGGCTACCAGCAAGTGCTAAGATTTGTCTCCTAGACCAGCTGCCTGGATTTTTCCTCTCTGGCCAAACTCTGTACCGTGATGGCACACTTGGTGTGATTCTCTAGCCTAGGACTGTCCACTGGAACACTAGAGATGCTCTCTATGTGAGAGCTTGTTTCAGCTTCCAGCTTCTCTGCCATCTTCCTCCGGGCCCTGAGTAGCTAGCTTTACAGATGTGAGCCACCAGTGCCAATGAGCCAAATCAGCTCCAATGGAGAGCTGAATTGGGATGCCACAATAACTTAGAGGGAGACAAGACACAGGAACGATCACAAAGAGACACGTGGGCATGGAGTCCGTGCAACTGATTTTCTATTTTGCCTTTGTACTGTTTCCAAATGCAGACACTGGTTCTGAGCTTGTCTCTATAGGTGACCATTCACTAGGCTCTTTATTATCTGACATGGCAAACTCCCTCCTGATTCATTCATTAGTATAAGCCCCAGAGCTTCTTGTGTCCATGCACCTGTAGATAGCTTTCTTGAGTTCCATTACAATGGTTCAAAACTAGGTTGTCTTGACTGGAGTCTGTGTGTCCCCTGGGAAGCCTATCTGGTCTTTTCTATAGTAGTGACACCTGTCAATTAATATACCATGAAAGTCTACCATATACCTATACTCTGCTCTGATACCAACAGATGAAATATCTGTAAGCTTACTGTGTATGTATAATGGAAAATGATGGTAATTCCTTATACATATAATCACCTTTGTCATGGAGGTATTGCTACTTGCACTGATGGAGAAGGACTCAATCTGTAACATTCTGATTCATTGCTTCATTTCTTCCTTGTCAGGCCCTGAACCCATAATCTTGTGCTCATATTTGCTGGGTTCCTTGGACAGGAGCTCTGCCTCCAGTTTCTTAAGGGGCCTTACAGGTATTTATTACAGTGGTTTCCTAGAATGTGGAAGCATTGAGTTTCCATGTGTGGATTTCAGTTCTGTGGCTTTAGTCTCACTCTATAAAGAAAACTTCTTTCCCATCCTGCCACGCAGGGCCTAAAGAGATCCACCAGATAGGTTGTACTCCAAGAACAGGATGAATTATTTTTTACACAAACTAGATTTTAAAATTCAAAGCAACTCTTGAGGGACCCAGGACCCAGATTGGCTAGCTCAACCATCTTTGATACGTGCTTTTTATTGCACAAGGCTTGAATGATAAACATTCATTGAGTGCATGATGATGCTACTAGGGGCTCAAAGTGAAAATCTCAACTCTGCTATTGCTTGGTAGAATTTATGGATTATAACGTTTTGAGGATTCAAATGTCTTCTGGTTAAGTAGAATAATCATTTTCCAGTTTTGTCTTAAAACTACCAGAACTTTTTTTTTTTTTTTTTGCTATATAAATCTCAGACATACTTCTTGTTACTGCCTATTCTGAGGATTCTGTGACAGAGTGACAATTTTCCTGGGTAGTGTACATTGTAATGTTAACTGTCATGTCGATACTATTCATTAAGTAGCAGAGTATGCTTTTTAAAATTGCTTGCATTCACTCATCAAATCTCAGTGTTTTCTATAGGTATAGTCATTATTTCAATTTTAAAGATGAGGCTATTTACTAAAACATAAAAATGTTTGATTATTAGATAATACATATTACTGAAAAATTTCCTTTTGTCTATTCAGGTATTGGTTCCAGTACTGGGGCTTGAAATCAAGGCAAAACTCTCACCCTTTTCTTTCTTTCATAGCCAGGTCTTTATCATATGAGCCACATCTCCAGTTCCAGCTTTTTGCTGATTAAAGATCAGAGTCTTGCCTTTGTGTCTGACATGGCTGGCTAGGAACTGAGATCCTCACATCTCAGACTCCTGAGTAGCTAAGATTATATGTGTGAGCTACTCTTAAGGGTTTGTCTTTTCCTTTTTTCTTTTCTTTTTTTTGGGGAGGGGGGTCCGGTTGTGGGGCCTGGGCTCTGTCCCTCAGCTCTTAAGCTGAAGGCTAGCGCTCTACCACTTGAGCCACAGCCCCACTTCCGGCCTTTTTCTTTTTGCTTATGTGGTGCTGAGGAATCGAACCCAGGGCCTCAGGCATGCAAGGCAAGTGCTCTACCACTGAGCCACCTTCCCAACCCCTGTCTTTTTCTTAGCAGGAAGAAAATATATAGAAGTGCTCTAAAGTACCCATTTTCATTTGAACAAATAACAATACTTTTCATTTTGTTAACATTCATTTTATAAAATACATTAAAAGAACAGATATAGTATTTAAGGTTACATAATAACCAGAATCGAAAAAAAGAATGAAGAAAATATAAATTAATTGAACATATAAGTATTTTGTCACATTGGACAAGTTTCAAAAGGCATTTTTAAACAATGAAATACTAATTGAGAAGAAAACTCTTCACTCCATTGCTGTCTTTATCCTCCCCTGGGAACTCTTTCTAGTAGCACTAAAAATCCAGCTTAACAAGGCAGTACCTGCATTATTATTTAAAATATACTGTATTTTACTCCCCAATCTGTCAATTTCAGATAGGCTTTTAAAAATCAGGTTAGATAATTCAGTGCAAATGAAAGCTTCAAGTTGAACATCTGAGAGGAAGAGTAATATCCAAACTGAAGGAAATGCTTTTGGAACTGAAAATTTTAAATGTTCACATTATGAAGAAATGTTTGCAAATGTTCTTGGTGTGTGAAATGCCAAGTTAACAAATGTTGCCTTTTGGGTTGTGATTAGGGTCTCTACCATTAAAGACTGCAACATGGCAAGGGGAAATAGAGAAGGGCCAAAGGTAGAATTTGTGGAAGAAATTTCAAATTACGCACACAATGGTCAGATTTTAGAAGATCTAGAATCTAAAAGAATTCTAGAAGATCTGGGTGTAGTTTAACATAAGACTGAAAAAGAAATACAGATCCTGGAAAAATAATTACTTTAACATCATTGAGGGCACATTATATCTTTCCATCCCTACACATATTTGGGGGCAAGGAATTGATATTTGCTGTATTATGGATTATGATAAAACAATTCTATTAGAAACAGAATCTTGAGAGATGGAAGGAAAATTTACCTTTGTGGATCTCAATGAACAAAATCTGGATCATTTCTAAGCAATAACAGGTCATCATTTTTATAATAATATTTAGGTTTAATTATTTCCTCAAAAACATCTTTGATCATAGTATCATAGGCAGTAGATAAATTCTCAGTTGCTCTACTGGTGTTTGATAAAAAAAAAAGTTTTCCTCTTTACATTTCATTGATTACAACATCTTTGACTCCTGCTGCCTATAAGCAAAATAGGAGCTACTATTGAGGTCAAGACACAGATTTTGGTAAGAGGCTAGAACAATTTTTGCAAAAGTCTTTGTATTTTTTTCCAACATCAGATCCAAATTTACAATTTTGCTGTGCCTTTTTTCTAATTTCTCACTGAAAGCTTTTGCCTATTATTTGAAAACTGGACAAGAATGTGCTGTGTTTCCCACTATTCCTATTTTACATCATTCTCTATTAAAAATATTATAATAATGAAGTGGCAATTTTGGCTTTTTGATTGAATCTGTCAACAGCAAGTCATATAAAAAGGCCAAAATAGAAAATGCTATTTCAATGTGATATCAGAAATTGGTAAGTGAAAAATCATGACGACATTACATGGAGTTCACAAAGCAACAGACAATTGGCCAATACAATTTTAGGAAGTGTAAAAATCTGTACTCATACATACTCACAAGAAGAGCATCTAAGGCAAATTAAAAGCTCCCCCTAGGGGCATAACTAGTTCTGAGTCACCTGAACATATTCATATAAGAGCATAAACTATGCAAGTCCTGTGAGTCTTCAAGTATCTCATCCCATGAAAGCCACACTTCTAAGGTCAGTCAAGTATCACTTTGTAAAGGAATACATCAGTTTTTCTCCCCTGATCAACATGGCTGTCTCCATAACATGAGTCCATAATTAGAAAACTATCATGGGGTTCAATAATTTTATACAAACATAATTCGGTAACATTTCTCCATTGAGTTATTAAGGGTAACAGAAAGTAAATTGTTGCAAACGTCAGAAGCAGTCAAGAAACTTTCCAGATTTCATCCATCAGTCTTTTGGCAGCTTGTGAGGGGTTGTGCTTTACAAACACAGTGCCTAACAGTGCAAGCACATAGTATATGTTCAATAAATACTTTTAGATTTATTCAACCAAATGACACAGGTTTCTGAAGGACCATCCACCATTGCGCACATACAAAAAACGAGCAAACTATGTTCTTTCACTGGATTGGATATTGGATGGAGCCAAATGGAGCCATGAATGAGAAGAATGTAAAAATTCAGTATGAATCCTGATTTGATGAGAGATAAAATTACTAAGAACTTTGCAGAAAAATGTTTTTGTGTGTGTGTTTGTGTATATATATATATATAGATATAGACAGTAGCCCTGGCACTTGGTGCAATGTGAAGCATGGCCCATAGCTCTTAGGAACAAGGCTGCTATCACACAAAAAGAAATGGACTTGATTTCACTTTGGGAAAGGGAGGCTCATGATATTTGTCTGAAGCCTATTAACGTATTTGAGGAAGATGGCTTTCTCTTTCAGCAAGCCTGAAAGCAATACAAGCGTACGTGTCTGGAGACCTCATTACATTCCTTCAGTACGGCACTGTAGGGAGCAGCGGCTGCTTTCTAATATTTCAGATTTTTATAGCCTTGTGGCATCCCTGGGATGACAAGAGATGGAGAATATGAAAAAAATGAAAGATTACACAGCTATATCATGGGAAGTTCCTGAACATTATTTTTTTAAAAAAAAAACCTTATAAAAGGTAGTTTATTGACAAGTAAATACTTTACAATCATGTTTTTCCCATCTCTCAACAGTGATCGTTTCCAAAGAAAAGACTCAGTAGTGAAGACCACACGCTTTTTTTTTTGCAATAGTTTGATACATTGTAAATCAGAACTTTCAAAACATCTGGAAATGGGAGAAATGGAAATGGACCCGGGGCTGGGGGTCGGGTGTAGAAGGATGAAGATGAGGAGGTGCTTTCGCTGTTAATGTGGACAGCGAGGGAGGTGATGGGAGATGTTACAGCAGACCTGACAGCTTCATCCAGGGGCCATCAGGAGCACAGTACAGGGATCAAAATAAAAACCCAACTGCAACTTTGCCAACGTGTAAACAAGGAAAAGAATTTCACAGATTCAAAAGTTCGAGAGCAGTAAACGTCTTTAAATTATTTTTTTTTTTTGTCAGTTCAACCCTGATTTCAAAGTATGGCTAGCAAAAACAAGGAAGCCACAGCCTCGACATCCTGAGCAAGCACACAGTCTTCCGAGAAGCTGCTGCAGGCCTCCCTTCCCAAGCTGCCTTGTGAGGAGGAGACTCCTTCGCTTGGGAGTTCACTTCCTGCCTCTCCTTTCATGCTCTGCTTTGCATGTGGGTGTTTATCCAGTTCTGGCTGCTATAGGTTGAGACGTGGGGAGACTGGAGGAGGAAAGGCGAATTCTCGGAGGATGCTCCTGGCCACTTCCACATTATTCTGGGCTATCTCTAAGGCTCTCTTCACCTCTTCGAAGGCATAACCCTCTCCCATGAGTTTGGCAATTTTTGCATCCACATTTTCCAATGCTGCCTCGGGCCCGTGGGGTTTTCTGTGGTGGATTTCTGGTGCAGTCCTGCGGGGTCGTGGTTTGGGGGGTCTGGCTGGTGCTTGTGAGGCATCTGTGATACCATTGAAACAGTGAGATAAAAAGGAAGACATTAGAACAGAATAGTAGCATCTCATTATTTTATGTTACTATCTTTCAGTACTTTCGTATTATGATTTCAGGTCCAATACTACTTTTACTACTCTTACAAATAAACTTAAACTGTGGTAAGTAGAAATTGCTCTGATTTGAAAATTATGAAGTTGAGGTAAATACTATCCCCAGTTTGAAAATTAAAGGGTTGAGGTTATAGTTCTACTAAAGAACAACCACTTTCCATTCCTGAGTCCATATTTCTTCCTTCAAGCCAGCTGAAATAAGAGTTAAGAAGAAAAAAAAGCATAAAAATATTGTCAAAACTATTAAAAATATTGTCCCCTTATTTGGTCACATAGACTACCTCCGTCTATGATGGCACGGGTTGTGACTGTCTTGAAGTGCCTTTAAATTAGGAAATGATATCTTTCTATGCTCATAGATATTACAGTATTTTTTATATTCCAAAATGTCCTGTGTCCCATCTCTGTCAGAGCAGAACTAGTCTCTGAAAAACACACTTTGTAGGATCTCTTCCTACCTCATTTTTCAAATTAACAATGTTCTGTCCTATTGAGGCTGGAGGAAAACTGAATTTAAAATAAAATAGCAATTGGACATGGTGGTTCATACTGCAATCTCAGTTACTTAGGAGGTAGAGAAACCAAGGAATATGATTCTAGCCCAGCCCAGTACTAGCCAAAATTTAGTCATACTCCATCTCAACAAAATAAACCAGGCTTGTTTTGGTGGTGCATGGGAGACTAGGAGGATCCCGGTGTGAGACCTGTTCCAGGGAAAAATGCAAAAGAAAAGGCTGGGTCATGGCTCAAATGGTAAAGTCACTGCCTAGCAAGTGGGAGGCCTCATACTATTGCCATAAGCAAAAGCAGAAAAGAGATAAGAGGAAAACCTACCATACTTCTGCTGCTCACCCACACACCTTTCCTCACCCACATACCTTGCCTGCCCTGCCCTGCTATCAGGACTGGGTGTGAGCACCACAGAGCGGTGTTGTGGTTCTGCCTCTGTCTCTCCCTGAGCTGTATCTGGGCTTCCACTGACTGGTGGGAAGACAGTGCTTTAGGCCCTCAGCATCGCTGGTATGGCCAGTGTCAGGGGCCTAGAACTAGAACTGTCTGAAGACATCCTGTTGTCCAAAAGGGCTACCACTTCCATTGTAAGTCAATACACAGTGATCACCCCTCATTTGCCAAAATGTCCCCACCGGGTGACTCACAGAGACATGAAGCCCAACACAAGAATCAAATCACTGCATTACAAACTAAACCAAGACACATGCACACCTGCATGTGAGAGCTACTAAGGAGGGCATCCTATAAAAGCAAGAGAGGTATCTGATCCATCTGTTGTACAAACTTCAATGGAGGAATCCAGAAATTTGAAATAAAGCAATGCAGACACTTCTGAAAGCACACTGTAACTACAGCAATGAATTCCAATAAAATTGAAATGTTAGAACAGCTGATAAAGAACTGAAAAGAATCCTTGTTTAAAACATTCCCAATGAGGTCTGGGAAGGTGGCTCAGTGGTAGAGCGCCTGCCTTGCATGCTCAAGGCCCTGGGTTCGATTCCTCAGCACCACATAAGCAAAAAGAAAAAGCCGGAAGTGGTGCTGTGGCTCAAGTGGTAGAGCGCTAGCCTTGAACTGAAGAGCTGAGGGACAGTGCCCAGGCCCAGAGTTCAGGCCCTACGACCGGACACCCCCCAAAAAAAATCCCAATGAAACCCAAAGAAATACAAATAAATACTTTAGTGAAATTAGGGAGAAAATGTAGGCAGGTGAATGAGAAACTGAGCAGAGAGAAAGATGAAAAGAACTGCACAGAAACTTGGAAATGAAGAATTCCCATGAAAAGAAAAGTTGAGTGTCATGGCTCTCCTTATAATCCCAGCTACTTGGGATCATATCTTTGTTGCTCTACTATAAAAATCAATCAATTAATTGTAGAGTCCACTTTTGACATAGGTTGAATTTTTGCTACCCCGGAAAATCTGCTTCATTATAAATGGACTTGATTTAATGTAGAGTTTCACAAAATCATGAATAAGAAATCTTCAAATATGGGCTGGGAAGGTGGCTCAGTGGTAGAGCGCTTGCCTTGCATGCATGAGGCCCTGGGTTTGATTCCTCAGGACCACATAAGGAAAAAGAAAAAAGCCGGAAGTGGTGCTGTGGCTCAAGTGGTAGAGCGCTAGCCTTGAGCTCAAGAGCTGAGGGACAGCGCCCAGGCCCAGAGTTCAGGCCCCACGACCGGACCAAAAAAAAAAAAAAAGAAATCTTCAAATATACTGTGCTTTGATTACATCTAGAAAGTGCTCAAGAAAAACTATTATTATTTGGTCTGTAAGAAAAACCATTCTGTGGTTATAAAACTGGAACTATATGTCCTGTTCCTGTCCTGGAACTATGGTAAAATTCAACTCTGAGACTTCCTTTGTTGAAATGAAACAAAACATAATCTTAAAAACAATTTACCTTAATTTGTCTTATCACTAATGATTTATACACCGCACAATTCTAATTATTTTGTTAAGCTCATTCATTATTTCTAATTGAGATCTTTACAAAGTTACCTACAGACTATTGATCCTAATATAAAATTCACTCAACGTTTCATCACTCTTCCCTTTAATCTAGTAAGAGAAAAGTACATTGGAGTTTATTTCCTTTTGTAATGAGATCTCCTTAATTTTGTTGACATATTTAGCAGTAAGATTATTCAATACAAGTCATGCAAAATTCTGTCTTTGTTTTTAAGTGTGAATTTAAACTGCCATTTAAATTCTGACAATATGAAAAATCTTTGCCAAGGCTAAGGCCGAACATGCATTGGTACAATATATATTACAAGAGAAAAGCAAATTGAAAAGAATTTTCAAAAAATCTTCCACAATACAGATCTATGCAAATTTAACACAATCCAGTGAAATCTTCCTTTTCATTAATTAGTTACATGACATATTTATTTGATTAAATATCAATTATTACATTAAAAACTCCCAGTCTATGAAGTATTTTCTTTGAGAGGAGGAAACATTTGAGAGAACATTTGTATCTGTAGACATATATGCCTCCGCCCTTTTTCAGATAAGAGGATAAAGACAGTATTTTTAAATTCAATGAAACTCTTTCTAAGTTCATTAGAAATATTCTTGACAGAAAGTGTGTGCATAAATAAATTACTATCAACTATTTAGACAGCTATTGAAGACAATAGAATTTAACCTTCAAGCTGCAACAATCAAACCAGAATCTTAAGTCATTTTAAAACCTTTAATAAAAAGAATATTTACTGAAAAATAATGCTACCAGAATCCTGAAGGCACCAGGTAACCCATTCTGAAGGCTTTTTTGTTTTTGTCTGCTTTTAGTGCTGGTCTTGTGGCTTGAACTAAGCCCTATTTCTGAGCACTTTTTTGCTCAAGGCTAGTGCTCTACCACTTGAGCCACAAGCTAACATCCTTCCGGCTTTTGGGGGTAGTTAATTGGAGATAAGAGTGTCACAGACTTGACCAGCATTAGTCTCAAGGTTTGAATGTGAAGATCTGTCTCAGAGAGCAAGGCCAGTCTCTGCTTCTGTGAACAAGCTGGAAAGCTGCATGTAACAAACCTGCTTAGGGAGTAGCTTCAAATACTTGATGTTACAACTAGCCAAAGCCCTCAGAGTAATTGGTACTTTTATTTCTTAGGTAACAATTCAAGCTCTTGGTAAATGGTAATTTGGAACATTTCAGCAAGGCCTATAGCTCAGTGCTTCCTGAAATTTCTGGAGTTAATTGTAAGCCACCTGAACTCCTGTATGTGAGCAATGTTACTCGGGCTCCATAACATGCTCATATTACACAGCAAACAGGTTCTTGGCAGTGTTTTGGCCACAGATTTTCCCATAACCAAAACATGTATCTTTTAATCTAGACTTGGTGGTATTTGAATATGTTGTTCTAAATCAGTAAGTTTCAACGTTGTATTTCAACATTATTTTCTGAAAGAATTCATTTCCTTATATGATGGCTATAAGGTGTTTTCTCTTGAGTTTCATGTGTTGCCATCAAATCTATCCTTTTGACTAGAAATCCAGTCTATTCATACACATCTGAAACCTCTGAGCAACTACAAGTGAAATAAAATGGGGAACATAGTCCAGAACTTGAAAATCAACATGATCTTCTGACTTATACATATGTTAAAACTTAAAACACACACATACAAAAAACAAAAACAAAACCCCAAAACATGCAGAAGCATTCTGACTCTCATGAAGAACGCAAGTAGGAACCTACCTATCTCCTGTTGCTTTTTTTTCAAAAAAAAATCCTTAATTATCTGAGTTCAAAGATGATTATTACTATGTACAAATCTGTGAAGTGAAGCTTGAGCTTAAAAACAAAACCCCAAAAATCACAAAACAAAATCTCTTTAAGAAAAACATCATTTTTACAAATATAAGACAAAAATATTGCTCATAACACATTGTATTAAGCTTAACACAGAGACATCAACTCCTCTTCCTCTTCCTCATCTATCCACTTGTATACTCACCTACATATTCATTGCTATCCACCCATGACCTATCTATCCATTCAAGAACCATGAGGGGAGCATTATGATAGTCCAGGACTATGCTAGGGGAACCAAATGTTTGAGGTCCCCCCCGTAACAGTCTTATGTTGAAACCTAAACCCCTATGTGATGGAATTTGGGAGTGAGTGAGAGTTGAGTCTTTATAAACCAGCGTACTGTCCTTATAAAGACCCCACAGCCTTCCCTTGACCTTGTAAAGACATAATGAGTCCCTACCCCTATGCAAAGAAGATGCAGGTTCTTTCTCAGACACTAAATGCTGTCACCTTGATCTTGAACTTGCCAGCTTCCAGAAATGAGAGAAAAGAAAGGCTTATTTGGTTAAGCCATATAGACTATGGTACTGAGGTATAGCATTCTAAATTGACCAAGGTACTCAGTGATACTCCAACCTGCAAACTGCTAATATATCAGCAAGGAAGACAAACAACAGTTAAGCAAATGAATAAATGATGAAATTTCTGGTAGTGACGGCTACTATAAAGAAAAATAAAGCAAAAGAGGGTGTAAAGTAACTACAGGAGATTAGGGAGCTGCTTAAAAATTCAGAGAAGGACTCCCACGGAAAGCAAGTCTTTAATTACTAACATTCGGCGCAGGACCCATATTTAATAGCTACAAGGCCTTCTGTGAGGAGGGGTGGGGTTGCAATGCACAGGAGCCCTAAATAAGCTACGAGAATGAATAGGTACTGAATAATAAAACTGGTTCGGTGCTAGAATTAATTCTGAAGAGATTTCTTCCTTAATGGAGAAATAAGAGAACATGGCATTTTAATATACAAAGACATTTTTTTCCCTTTTGCTACATTTGATATGACAAAACAAAAGTTAGAGAATGAATAAATCTTGACAAGGCTCATTGACTAATAAAAAACAATATTCAGCCTGAGTTTTTTTCTCCCTGAGGCAGTTTTGTGGGCATTCTTTTCATAATACAAGCCCTATAATTAAAATGCAAAGGTGACAAAATTATACATTAAATGGAGAAAAAAGTGTTCTGAACAGCAGAAAGCAACTGTGCAAACCTAAGGTGTTATTCTTACTATAATTAGCCAACTCACCTGAAGATGACGGCAGCTGGTCATACTCCTGTGATACTCTGTTGGATTTGGCATTTTCTCCTGGCAATCTCCTAGCAGGAGGCAAAGGAACTTGGCCACTTGCTAGGTCAAAAAAAGGATCTTTAAAATAAAAAACATTTTTAAAATTAAAGGGATGATCTCAGTTTATTGGCTGAAGGGGAAAAAATTCTAGAAATTTTCTCTAAAGATTATAGCTTGCAAAAATAGAAAGTGAATTTCATGACTGATTATCATCATCATGTTTTCTGAGGATTATCAAATCAGTTATTTTCTTTTAGTATTAGGTAGACAAAAATCTGTAAAAGCAGACCTGACATTTGGATTTGTAGGGATTAAACAAATTTTTGTATGTAAAATCTTCAAATAATTATTTGGGGGAAGAGAGAGTATTGAACTTTTTCTTAATTCTTTTAGTTTTCTACTGTCTGTAATATTTCCAAATTATACTCAAATGTAGAAAACAGGCAAGTGAAACTAGATTATTAAACATAAGAATATTAAGAATTCTACATATTCCATTGATTTAACTTTCATTTGAGTTTAGTATTAAGCATATAGAAGAATGTGGCTATTTCAGAAGAAAAATTATGCTGAAAATGTTTCTATTTTTATACTAATTTTGGACTAGATAATGCAAGGCAGGATTTAAAGTCATTAATTAATTACTATTTTATCTATCCCTGTTTGAGTGCAATAATTATCATCAGGTTTCCTGGGGATCTTCTGACTTCAGGCAAAAAACATGCTTTCATTAATTTCGATATTAAAATATCTCAAATATTGAATAATTTCAATATATGAATTTTCATTAATTTTCTTGAAGTTGAAAAGGAGACAAATGAATTCCACATGATATATATCAGTCTTTTGAGTTGTTAGAGGTGATACTCTTTTGGAAACATTCTAGCTCAACATTTTCAAAGCATGAACATGCATCAGTTGTGAAAACACATTTTGCTGAGTAGTACACTCCAACAGTTTCTGATTTAGTAAAGCATTTATTTAGAGCAAATATCCAGGAAATGCAGAGGCTGATGATGGGGAGACCACAGTTTGAGAATCACTGCACTTGTCCTTTGACCCTTCAACACCTGAATGTGTTCCACACCTGAATCTCCACATGGGCTGGTCAGAGTAAGGTCTTCTGACTTCCAGTTGAGAGAGTAACCTCAGGAAGGCACGAGCTCCCTTGCTAGACATATCATGACATGCCACACGAAGGCCACTGCATCTTTTCAACAACTACTAGTGATGATGTGGCTTTTTCTTCATTTTACTTGGGCAAGATCATTTCTAAGTCCATGGGGAAATTTTTTCATTTGTCTTGAGTAAAGTCAAATTTGCTAGCTTTTAGGGTTGAATTGTGATGCTAAGATTGGATTAAAAACCTCAAAAGAGATGCCAGGTGAAAATACCAGTGAACAGAAAGTAGAGTAAGGGTTGCCAAAGATGTTGTATAGTCTGTGCCCTGCACAAAGACATCCGGTGAAGAATATGAGCAAGACATAAATGCTGCCCTTGCTTTGTTCCTTTTCTGGCTCTGAGTCGCAAGAGGGGTGCCTGTTTCAACCCACCCACAAGCACAAAAGAATGTTTTTGTGTAATACAGCAGAAAAGCACGTATATGCTAGCAGTTGCCTTGGGTTTGGAGACAAAGAATCATGAAGCTTTTGTTGAGAACTCCAGCTTTTGTTAAGATATGATTGGCTTTTCCAGAATAGATGGCTCATGTACAGCACTAGGCATTATTGTTTTGCCAAAGAAATATTGTATGAAAGGCTGAAAATGGAAACCTAAAAGAAGAACTGGGCCATGTCTCTGCTTGGCTCTCCCCCGAGCCTGAAGGAGCCATGAAGCTCCTGTGCGCAAACTGTCCTGCAGTTTGAAAGTTCCGTTCATAGAAAGCTAGAAGGCTGGCAAGCTGGGCCCACTAAATGCCAGAATAAAGACATAGATTTAGCTAGGCCTTTGATATAATATTATGAGAAAATTCAACCTCCTTTTCTGTGATAACTATCACATTCTTTTAATTAGGTTAAACTATTTCCACAAGGAAAATCTCAAATACCACTAAGAAAACATGTATCACTATTCTGCCCTAAGATATCACAGACGGAATAATAGCAGTTAATAAATAACAGGAATTTTAAACTCTTGTTAACTTGGCTAATAATCTTTGTTTTAAAATTGAGTTAAATTTCTGCAACTTTGGAAGTGGCGCTGTAGCTCAAGTGGTAGAGCGCTAGCCTTGAGCTGAAGAGCTGAGGGACAGCGCCCAAGCCCAGAGTTCAAGCACCACGACCGACAAAAAAAAAAAAAAAAAAAATTCTGCAACTTTATTCTCCTCTTAAGTCCTATCACAACCCATCCACTATATTTCTTCAGATAGTATAAGGAATTAAATACTTGGCCAAATAGTACTCGAAATATTCACCTATGACCCTTGAAAACCTTTGTTTTTAAAAGAAATTGCATGGCATATTGGAAAAATTACCTGTAACAATGTACATAAATTAAAAATGGAAAATGTGAAAATAGAAACTGCAATATTGAAATTTTATCTGCTGAGATTTATGTCATAGCCTTTATATAGTATAAATTGCTATTCTTACCACTCAGTATTGTTTTCCCTGCTAACCCTTAAGAATGACTTTCACTTTAAATAAAAAGGAAAAAAAAAAGTCTTCATTGTGTTATTAACCTCCTACCTGAAGGAAGAAGGAAAAGGTCCTGTCCTGAGGAGGGTCGGCTACTGGAGCCAGGAGGTTTTGTATGTTCAATGAGACTATGCCTGGCAGGAGGTGGAGGAGGTGGGAGGGAGGGCGGAAGGGCATCAAAAGCATCTTCACCTGCGTGAAAAGAAAGGTCAGTATAAACAGGAGACCTTCATTAATCAAAACATACAGTGTATCAAGCAAAAACAATACCACTTATGAAGTAATTCACTTGCAGGATTTGCCCTGCAGTTCGCTGACTTTGATAACAAGATCTAATTATTTTGTGCTAGTGTTTGGGGGACAAAACACACACAGATTCATTCAAACACACCCATATAGACTGTTACTTCTAGGTCTGTCTATAAGAACATCCTTGAGGGTTATGGGAGAACTCAGGGCTCCATTGTATTATATATAAATAATACTAGCACACTGGAAATTTGAATTAAATTTTCTTTTTAATCAGTCATACCAGCTGAACAGAAATCTCTATGTAACCAAAGGAGTTCATGGTCTCTAATTAGAAAATCACACCCATGTACCTGTAATTTATGTCACAGAATAGTTTTAATCACCTCAGAAGCTTTGTTCCTCTGGATTTTAAATCGTTTAAACTAACATTGCAAACGTCTCTGATTTACTGTCAAAATAGACAGAAAATGTACTTAGACCAGAGGAATATATTTTTTACTTAACTATCATCTCTTAAAGCATCATTCAATATAGACCTTCCTTTAGTAATCTGTAAAGCTCAATACTTACTTTTTTCTATTTTTTTTAACAAATATAGAATAGAGCAATACGGATTTATGTCTACCTACTTTTGCCCTGCCACTTCTTAGTATTCTATCTGAAGTATTCTGTTCTTTAAAAGAAAAATAAAATTAAGTGCACTTAATATAACTTTTCAATCTGCCCAAAGTATTTCGTAAATGAAACAGGGTATGTATAAATATATCCATATTCCAATAATAAAAATTCATATTCATTAAAGTTGGATGATTTAAACATAAAGACTTTTTAAAATGGTCTCACCATTCACTTACTGAGCTTTTCTTAAAAAATATTCAAAAGCTTTCTAGTCATCATAAATATTATAATTTAAAATATCTAAAGATATATGAGAACCTTTTATCATTCTGGTCTTTAGATGTGTGTCACACTATCACATTCAAATCTTTTTCTAGCTCTTAAATACCAGACACCATACTAGGCAACTGAGTGACATGAGGATCAAAAATCATAAAGCTGTGATGCAAGGATCTTAGATTCCATGAAAGCTGGCACAAAGATTCATATTTATGAGTCACTTCACCTGTGGGGTGAAGATCTTTGGTTGTTTCCATATACATATACATATATATATATATGTATATATATACACACTTTGAAAGAGAAAATATGTACACAAGGAGCATTTTTGTGAAGTTATAAGGAACAGGAAAACCTGGAATATTAGAGTGTTCAAAATCATTTATTCATGATATTAAAGGATGGGTTTCCTATGCTGAAACAGCAGTATGAAAAGTATACAAGAAAACCTAGAGGAAGGTCAAGTGAGAAGACAGGTTGGAACATCCATCTCTATTAGCTAATGATTCAGTCATTACCCATATATGGCTATTACATTTATTTGTTTTTATGGTATTGAGTATTAAAGCCTTGGCTTTGAGAACTCTAGATAAGTGATCTACCACTTAAGCTATGGTCTTAACCCTTTTGGTTTCTGCATTTTATGTTTGAGACAGTGTTGCTAATTTTGCCTTGGTTAGCCTGAAACCTCTTGAATAGCTGTGATTTCCAATATGAACTATTATACTTGTTGTCCATTACATAAAATGAATAAAAGTTTATTTTCACATAACCATAAGCAAACACATACATATATACATATATACTTAGGCATACATGCACGCATGTTATGTTTACATTCCCTTAGAAAGTTCTATTGATGCCAGAAGCTGATGGGTGACTCATGCTTGGAATCCTAGCTACTAGGAGACTAAGGTATGAGGATCATGATTCAAGCTCAGCCTGGGCAGAAAAGTCCAACAGATTCTATTTCCCATTTACCAGCAAAATGTTGGAAGTGAGGTCAAGTTCAAGACAGAGAGTGCTCCCTTGACAGAAAAAGCCAAGCAAGACAGTGAACCTCTAAGTTCAAGCCCCAGTACTAGGATACACAGATAGACAGACAGACAGACACACACACACACACAAAACACACATACACACAAACACATACACAAATAGAGAAAGGTATACTGAATAGTGTTTGTCTAATTCATGAAAAAGTGCTTAATCGCTGTACAGGAAGCGGAAGGAAGAAAATGACTGTGAGATATTAGGGGCTCTTATAATTAATGTAGGTGAAAATAAAGTCCTAAATTCTGTGTGTGTGTGTGTGTGTGTGTGTGTGTGTGTGTGTGTGAAGAGGAGCAAAAGACACTGCAATTTATGTAATTCAAAGAGTGGCCAGTGCTGCTGCTTGTGAGAAAATCCCAAGGTCCATTCTATATTTCTGGCAGCATAATAGAAATACAAGCAATTTTATGCTATCGATATTTATTACTGTGATGTCATGGAGGTGTGGAGACTTTGCTTTTCTTCCTCTAAAATTAGCATGAGAATGCTCTTACCTAGAATAAAATTAACAGTAACAATGGAATCCACAAACTTCAACAAGGATACACAACTAAGTGTACCTTTACTTATAGTCACAAACATACTTGTTTCTTACAGTTTGAAAGAAATAAATTTGTGCTGTAGTTGTAATAATTACCTAAAACTGAATGTGTTCTTAGTTTTCTGTAACTGAGAAAAAAATCAAAATAGAGGTATATACAAGGCTAGGGAAAATAATGTAAGAGTTATCTCTGATTTCACAACTTAAAACCAGCTCATATGCTCTGATTTCAGTCAGCTGCTTTGTTTTCTTGTAGTGCTAGGAATTGAAACTAGGCCTTGCATATATTTGGCCAGCACTCTTATCGCAAGCCACACATATCCTTTGTTTTAAGCATGTAAATAAAGCAATGGTCACGTGAACATGGAAGTCAGCATCCACTCTCTCATTCCAAACAAATTCATTGCCCAGTGTATCTGTAATTACACAGAATTCTGAGTAGCAATAACGCAAATATGGAGAGAAGATATGGGGAGGTTGTTCAAAATTTCTTTAAAATTTCAACCTAATGGAGGGATGAGAAGATCATAATCAGAGGGCGTCTTGTTGAGTGAAGAACCATGCTTTGGATTGTCCCAAGTTGGAGGCCTGGCAGGTGGTAATGGCACTGGATCAGAAGATGAATCAAAAACATCTCCTAGAGGATAACACAAAATCTTCATGTATTTTCAGAGAAACAATGGTGTGGAATTTACCCTTTAAATTCTGACCATTGAGATGGAGAGCATAAGGAACAATCTATGCCATACATACCCTTTAAATAGATGCCTAACTCCGGGATGTTTGATTTCTTCATTTCTGAAGACATACCATGTGTTCCATTCAACAGACAATGTCCATTATCACAAGACCTACAGCAGAGATCAGAGAGCATGAAACATCAGGATTTGAAATTCCATCTCAAAGTTATTGGCAGGGGTTTGGGTAGAGGGAACTAGCATCCTTGTTTCTAAAATAAAGTTTAAAAATAAACATATACTCCTTTTCTGGAAACTATCAATAATAGCTATAAATATTCTTACTTCTGCTTTAGAAATCAGAATTAAATACCATACAAAAGACCAACAGTCAGTCTCCTTCCTCACTACCCTCTCAAAAGTTAAAACCATACAAGGGCTATATAATCTGCAAATACCAAAACCACATCTATGACATTAACATACCTCTGTAAGAGAAATTTAATAATATCTGGTTGAGTTTCAGAAATAAAATTGTAAAGTATGTGCCAAGACAAAAAATATTTGACAGTTTCAATGACTTCATTATTTGTTAATGGTACAGAATATTATATTTCATATAACTTGAGCCTCATTCAAATAAACAAACTAGAGTTTATATAAAGAAATGAAAACTTTTCAACTTTCAATGATTCCATTATAATTCTGACAGGAATAGTCAAAGACCTAGAGTTTGTAGTGAAACTTATTCTGAGGTGAGCAAAAGACTGGTTGTATGATACAACTTTACTAGTAGCCTTAGGAACATAATAAATATTTTAAAGTGGGTGTCTGTACAAAGCAATATTCACTGACCACAAAGCCTGTTTACTGTTGGTACTGATACTGTATACTTCCACTGTGAACACAGGGATAAATTTGGGACAGGAGAAGACAGTGGAGGGTCTGGATACCTAGGTATGGCCATTAACACATCAGCATCATGCTATAGAGCAATCAACCATCATCTAACAGTAAACTAGGGAAAGCAAAGTTTCCATTTCATTTTTCTATGAATTACTCTGAATTTTTACAGCAAAGTAAAATTATATAGATAATGGAGGAGATGGTGGATATTTGATTAGCTACTCCAAGAGTGCTTTATCTGAAATTCATTTCTATTTTCCCTGGTGGCCACTTCTCTTTAAGAGGCAAGATATGGTTCATTTAAAAATAGTTAGCATGTATTAAATCTTCATAATGATGATGGATTTTTTTTCTACTGAAACTAAATTGAATTATTCATTGACCATTTCATTTGCCCTTATATTGACAATTGACTTTTCTTGATATTCCATAGCAGGGGAAATATACAGGGACAGGAAGGGTTAATCTCAAAGAGTGCTTTGGAGAGGACAGAAGATACTTCATTCATCAGCTTTCAAGAACAGATTAGATGAAAAATTCAACACAATTAAGCCTAGGGATTATCAACATTTATTACTTCTCCATCACAGTAAAAAGATGGTAATGATGGTGATAATTCAAATTTACTTTTAGGATCCAGGAGGCCTGCCACCAAAATCTCATACTCTGTGATGTGACAATTAAAATTTAGCATGTAAAAATTGCACCCCTCAATCTGCCAGACATGGAAAAATGAGATTCCCAAGGACACAAAAAAAGCTTACCCAATTTCAGTTTTTAAAAATTGTTATTTATAGGAGCTAAAGCAATGGAAATCTGTAAGAATTTATACTTGATGAAAATGAATATTTTCTTTTTTCTTTTTTTTTTTTTTTGGGTCTGGTCGTGGCGCCTGAACTCTGGGCCTGGGCGCTGTCCCTCAGCTCTTCAGCTCAAGGCTAGCGCTCTACCAGTTGAGCCACAGCACCACTTCCGGCTTTTTTCTTTTTGCTTATGTGGTGCTGAGGAATCGAACCCAGGGCCTTGAGCATGCAAGACAAGTGCTCTACCACTGAGCCACCTTCCCAGCCCTGAATATTTTCTCCATAGATGTTAGATCTATTATTAAGTAGACACTGGGTTCTTCTGATATAACAAATTGTCTTGCAGCTTTTTCTTTGTCTTTTCAGTGATATTACTTTATCAACAAATGTCTTAAACACTAGAAATTAGCAGAACGGCATTGGTTCTTGCTTTGCAAAATGAAGGCCTGGAAAGTAGACTGTAACTTAATTTTGGTTAATATTTCTGCCGAGCACTAAAAATCCTAAGCAGAGTCAATTATTAAGACAGATCTCTAGTTAAAATAATGATTTGCTTCTTTTTTGCAGGTATGTCATTTTCTGTTTCAATAAGATACGTGAAGTAGAAGACTGAAACACTTTTTAGTCTTTTCATCTAGAAAAAAGGGAAAACTCTCATAAAATTCTTTGAGTCCATTGACTTAACCTCAAAAGGAAATGGCACATTGAAGTGGCACTGAGGAATGTATCTCCCTTCCTACGCCAATCAAGAGACTTTGCATAGCAGGGCTTCTGAGCTCCATATTACAAGCTACGCCCTGGTTCAGGCTTGTTATGTGAGAGGAATTAGAACTCAGAAAGTTAGGCTTGAAACTAAGATTTCATTACTTAGTACCTCATATATGTCAGTCAGATTAAAAGTATATAAATATTACTGTAGTTTATTAGCTCATTTATACACAAAGAATCATGTTTTTTCTTAAAGACAAAGTAATGTTTCAAGACACAAGACTCTTATTAATTCTTACTGTATCTAAATGTGGCTGATACTTCACACCCCAAGGATATCATATAGTAAAAAAAAAAAGGAACAGATAAAAAAAAACTATTATGCTTTATATATACTTTTATCTGATCCAATAGAAGGTAAAACAGAACTTGATATTTGGTGCTGGACCAGGGGCTTGAAATCAGGGCCCAGGCACTGTACTTGAGCTTCTTTTGTACAAGGTTAACACTCCACAGCTACAGATCTAATTCTGGCCCTTTTTGATAGGTTAATGGAGATAAGAGTTTCATAGACTTTGCTGCCTGGGCTGGATTTGAACTGGGATCCTCAGATCTCAGCCTCCTAAGTAGCTAGGGTCATAGGCACGGGCGCCATGGGTACCCAGACAGAACTTCATTTCTTTTAAAGTTAAAAAAAAGTAACTTGTTACTCCTTTTTTTGTTTGTTTGTCTGTTTTTCTTTTGGTGCAGGTCCTTGGGCTTGAACTCAGGACTGAGCATTGTAACTAAACTCATTTTTTGCTCATGGCTAGCTCCCTACCACTTGAGCCACAGATCCACTTATGGCCTTTTAGTGATTAATTGTAGGTAAGAGTCTCATGGACTTTCCTGCCAGATCTGGCTATAATCCACACTCCTCAGATATCAGCTTCCTATGTAGCTAGAATTACAGATTTGTGCCACAGGTACCCCAGTTTCTTTTCTTTTTCTTTCCTTTCTTTTCTTTTTTAAAAAAATTTAGATACAAGCAGGGTAGCAACAGCCAGAGAAGGAAATCAATATAAATTACACTAATCTATACATCATAAAAACAAATTCTAAAGAGGGCTGATGTAACCTTTGCATCAGATCCTTACCACTAGTTTTTCTGCAGAACATACGTGCTTGAAATGGATAAAATTCATTAAAATGGCTATAAAAATGCATGGAGTATTTATTCATTCTTATTAACCCATGTGTTTTCTGGGAAAGGAAGAAGAAAATAGTATATAAGAGGTTTTGAGTAAGAAACCAAGGATTTAGTCCAGTACATGTGATTGAACTATAGAAATGACAAATGCTTATGCAGATGTTAATGTGGAACAGGCTACTCATATTCTTACCGAACTGGAGGTTTTATATTATGACAATGGGATGGTTGTGAATTCAGGGAAACAGGATGAGATGAAGGAATCTTGTACTCATCGTCATCTTCCTCTACTGAGTCTCTTGTTTTCTCTGAAAGAGAATTTGCTAATGGACCAGTACACCTACCAAGGGGAGAAAAAAAAATCCAATCTCGTTTAAGAATAATAAATATTCAAACAGGACAGTCTGGTATGACATACTCAAATGAAAAAAGCTATTTGATCACATTCATCTTTCACTGACAGGGTAATTGAGATGTTCATATCCTAAATACAAATGGAAATGCTTTGTAACCTTTTGTTAAGATTTTCTTTATGAGATAAAAGATTTTTCATACTTATAATTTTAAATGTCAGTAAGGAAAAAAATCTACTTTTAAATCAATAAAACTTAAGCTCTCTTATGAAATAACAATTCACAAGTTGTTCTTTTCTTCCCCTCAACAACAATTAACAACTAAAAATGGATTGAATAATTAAAAGGAAATGAGAGAATTTGTTAAGTCTTTTGAGTACATTATTGATATGACTTAGTATGCCTGTCTAAATAAAAGAGAATGAAAATGATTACAACAATAATCTAACATCAAAAGAATTTTAGAAACATTTTACAAGAGAAAATAAATGGAAACAAGCAAACAAAAACTGATTATATTTCACAGCTCTTGCTACTGCAAATTAATCTCATCTTTGCTGAAGCCAAAGAGAAATGCTAAAGGAGATATGTACAAACTCAATCTATCCAACAGTAAGACAAACAAGAGTCTTGCAGGCCAAGAGAAATACACAAGGATCAAATAATTTTGCTAACTGGCTAGATTCCCAATAAGTTTGATCCAAAAAAAAAAAAAAAAAAATTAAAGTGATTGCAATTCACAGCACCTACTGTAGAGGGAGCAAGCAACCTTTGGTATAAAAAGCCCTGATGCCAAAAGTAACTTTTTTCTTCTCACTAGAAGTTCAGTTATCATTTATGTGAAATGCTTGGGACTAGATGTGCTTCTGATGTTAACTTTTTTTAAAAGGTGGAATACTTGCAAAGATTTTACCAGTTGAGCATGTCCAATGTAACAAGAGGTAGTTTAGGATTTTGAGGTTTTTGGACTTTCAGGACAGTGATGTTCAACAAGAAGTTAGAAGGAAAACAACTTTTTACTGTTTAATGTTTACCGATACATGGAGACACTAACCATGCCCGTGTTTCAACAACATATCTAAGTTTCTAGGAAGTACACAAATCAAAGTGTATACAAATACACAAATCTCCTAGAATTTTCCAAGTTTATTTTTGCCTCTCTTTGAAGCAGTTTCCAATACGAATCTCTGGATTATTGATTACCAGAGCTACCTTAAAATCAAAGGCTTTAGGAGTGAGAGGAAGCGGTGACACAGTGACAGAAGGTCTGATATGATGGCCCAGAGCACACGCTAAGAGCTTCATTAATAACCTCAGGGTCGTCCGCGGGTGAAATGCTTGTCAGTTGAAAGTGAGTACATGGGACGGTAAATATTGGGACTTGATGGAATTAGAACAGAATTTAAAGCATCACTTTCCCTCCCATAAAGTTTTGTAAAAATAAGATGAATTTTTAGGTCAGCACATAGGGATATAATGGTTTAGTTAGTAACTTTTACATTTCAAACTGAAGGCTGACAAACACATTCCTCTAGAGCATTTTGTATTCCTGGTATAAGGCACAACTCCACTGGGTGGATTTTCTTTATATTCTATTAGCCCATTAGCTTTATCCATTATCATGTACATGTCAAACATATACTACCCTTATCAAGTTGTTTTCTTTCCTGATCTGAGCGATTGGGGTACTTAAATTACTCAATCAAACGCCTCAAAAACAAAAAACAAAAAGATCCACCTCTACTCTGTTTATTAAAAAATTCATAAGAAATTGTCCCATGTTTGTCTTTGAACTTAATATTTTCTATTATGGATATTAGTTTATGTCCATTCATTGATACATCTTTCTAAACTATATTTTACTCCATTTCCGTAAGGGTTGAGAACTCTAGTCCATTAAGGCACAGTATGTATGCAAGATATTGAATACTTACAAGACTTTAAGCAAAAGTAATGAATGGTTATGAGAGAAGTCAGTGACTATGGTAGAAGGGAAAAAGATCAATCATTGGTAGAAACCTTCACTAGGTGAGAAAAATTTTAAATGCCATACATCATTTTGCTTATTTCCTACATGTAATAATCTTTCTTCATTTCATAACATCTGAAGGTTTGAAGATAGGAATACTTTTGTGAAAATAGAAATTCAAGTTTGCCATTTATCAGTCTATATTTTTATGCTATGTTATTCTAACTCTAGAAAGAAACATTCCTAACAGAAATCACTTAGCTTATAGAAGAAATAAAACAAAATTTAACTATATGTCATTTCCTCAAATCAGTAAATTTGTGTTAAAGGTTCATTCAAGGCATTAAGAGAAGATAGCACAGTATAACATTATGCTTTAATAGAACGTATGCTTTAATAGAAAGCAATTTACTGTGTAGCTTTCAAATGAGAGTAAGGATTTGAAGTCACCCTGTACTCTGCTCTCCTATATTCATGCTCTTCACTTGGATAAATTCATTGTTTACTCCCTTAGGATTTTTGGTTTCATGTTTAAATAGTATCCTCTCAAAGAGTTCTTCCCTAAGCATCTCATCTAAAATAAAGACCCATGTATCATTATTTTCCCTCCTAACAATCACCAATGGCCAACAACATTATAATTATATCCTGTTCTCCATAACTAGAGCACAAAGGATTTTATCTTGTTCTTGTGGATTCTAATCAGTATAGCAACTAAAAAGAAATAGGATTGCTAAGCAAGATTTGGATTCTCTATTCAACAAACTTCAAATATCTGTACCTAACTACTGAAAAATGTAAAATAACCCACAACTCCACCTCCATCATTTGAGCCAAGCAACACTGATTGGTTCAGAGGTACTTGAATGCTTATGGCTACTATTGTAAAAGTGTAAAGGCCCATTTCCAGATGACAAAGCACAAGAAAAAATATCCTTAAGAAATAAGGTACAGTATTGTAGAAAATTTTCAGATAACAAGAGAAAAATATCAATAGGCCATTAAAATCTACGTTGAAAGGAGTGACACTGATCAAGATGCATAAACTGCTTTCTCAAATGGCAACTTCCTTGTACAACTACTTACAGATAATAATTTTATAGCAGTTGCACTAGAAAATGAATCCGCTGTTTAGCATTCTTTATCAAAATATTTGTGTAGCTAAATCAAATAATTACAATGTTTTGAGGGATAAAGTATAACTCTATGGCTGATCTTAGGTGCTTTTACAAACTGAAACAGTAGGAAAATACCTGTAAAATACAGTTTACCACAATTTAGTTCTTCTTGTCTGACTCACAGAAGTAGCTGCTTAATATCGAGTACTAACAAAGCAACCTGCAATCTCTAATCATACTTGGCAATAATATGAATTTAATGGATGGAATCTGAATTTATTTACTTCATTCTCTGAAGTTCTCTGAAGTTACAGAGGTAACTATGATGTCTTATTATTGCTTATTCATACATTTAGAGTTTGTGTGGGGCTAGCATATCACATATGTTTTCACCACACGGAAAGGTGCGCTTACTTCTATCTCCAGTGTCTGCTAAGTACTGGATTTTTTCCAAGAAAAAGTTTCCAGTGAAGAATGGTCTGGGCTCCCCGCTGTCTCCAGAATGATGTGAAATTTCACACTCTTGTTTTTTCTCAGGCATTATCTTATCTACCCATGTCCATCCTAGGGATTCAGGATGCTTCCATCTACAACAATCCCTCAAAGTCATATAGACTAGATTAGATAGATAGATAGATAGATAGATAGATAGATAGATAGATAGATAGATAGATAGATAGATAGATAGATAGATAGATAGATAGAGGTAGGTAGATAGACAGATCTAGATCTATATGTGTATGTGTATGTGTGTGTGTATATATCTACCCAGTGTATATCATACAAGTTCTCTAATTTCATGTTTCTTAATATTTCTTCATGTTTCTTAATATTTTCTAAAGTGCACATTACATTCCTTGGGACCTTAGATTTATCTTCCCCTTCTTTTCACGTATATAGTAGGAATTCAGGGTCCTATAAATGGAGGAATGAAGAAGCTCTGAGATTTTCCAAATATAAACAAAAATCTTTCTTTGGTTGAGGTGTATGTAGTAGTAGAATGTTTGCTTAGCTTGTATAAAACTTTGCCTTGAGTTCCCAACAGAGAATGATTAATAATAATAATAATAATAATGACAATGATTGGGAGTCCTACCAAATAAAAGTCAAATCAATCAAGAATTCTCTATGAAAGAATTAAATAATACAGATATTTCCCCAAACTATATAGCTTTTTCTCAAGTTAGCAAACATTACAACATAATACATAATTATATGTGCAGAAAATAAACTGTAGGAAGATAAATTAAACATTAGTCTTAACCATTAAACAGAAGTCACACCAGTTTTTATAAAACATAGATCCTGAGTTATGGGCCTTTAGGATGGAATTTCTGAAAAGGGAGAGCATAGAAGGGAGGCATATTCCAACTCACCGAGGGAGAAAGGATACACAGACATGACTATAGAGTGAGCGTTGCAAAATATCTATTTGGGTAACATTCTGTCGGACCTTACTGCAAGGCAAGATGGTTAACTGAAAATAGCTAATTATTAGAAAAAAAGGAGACATTGATGGTTTGGAGTAGGAAGGACACCTGAAAAAAGCAGAATGAAAACTAAATTAAATTGGATGCAGTGAATGAAATTCTTGTGAAGAATTTATATGCAGCCTGCCTCACATGAAGAGCAAGAAAGTAAAAACAGGGCTACTGGGCTTCAGCCTGGATTAATGGGGATGCATACTACTCAACTGTCCAGTGTGCCTGAGTACCCATTTCTCAAATGAGACACAATGAGGTAACTCGTTTTCTAGTTAAAAATCCACTGATAGAAAATCTGAAGTGACCAAAGCTTAAGGCTTCCAGTCATCTAGCTGTGTAGAAGGCAAAGGGGCAATGGAAAGATTAGGTGAATCAGGAAAAAAAATGCCAAAAGAACAGTGATGAGTGGGTAAATGGATCTGAGAAACAGAAAATTTGTAGTAACCAAAGACTACTTCAGATTCAAACCAGGGGTGGAGATAAAATGAAGCACCACTGAGAAAGAGGTTTAAGTTGGAGGGGAGGGAGAGAAAGCTCACTGAGCTGTTCTTATTGTACCCTGTCTTAGAGCAGGAAACACAAAGCTTTTATTGTCCACTACTTTTTAAGAAGTCTAGATTCTAATAAGCATCAAATCCGTGATTACTAACAAAGAACTGAAAAAGAATTCTGGTACTTGAGTTCACAAATCTGAATGAATTGTATTGTCTTTGTTTATTTCTCTCTGTTCACCCTTTAGTTTTTTGTATTCAGAAACACAAAATCATTCTTTCTCTGCACATGAACAAATGATTCTGTTAGATTGAAACGAGGAAGACTCACTTTATGCTAGGAAGAAGGGCAGTAAGTGGAGGAGGAGGAGAGAGCCGAGGAGGAACATCATATTCTTCACTTCCAAGGTGACCATTGGAAAAGACCTGAAATAAATCAAATGGTTAGTTTCCAGGACTTTAACTCCTGGAGCACCTTAAAACAATAGTTGAATTGGAATTTAGGGAATTTCTATAATTTCCATTTATTCAAATTGGTTCAATTTGATACAATTCATTTAGCAGTGAGGGATGCTGGAGGATGTTTGACCACTATCCCCCAAAATGTGCAATATAATTCCCAAGTATCACTGAGGTATTGTTATTATTTAAGAAATAAGATAGAGACAGACAAATAAATAAACCAGTAGTACAATATCCCAAAGACAGTTTTGATTGAAAACTAGGAATGGTGTAAAGAAAAATATGACCCTGGCACAAATTTTCATTTCATCTTTCATCCAAATAAAACTATTTTAAATAGTATCTCTTAAGGGCCAAAAGAGCTGTAAAATAGTCCAGCTAACAATCCATAAAACAATGAGAAACACCTTTCTTTTTTCAAGGTCAAAGCTTTAGTGACATTGATAAGTAGAGACTTGTTCTGGCTTTTAAAGTGTGGGAAAACGTAAGCATTAATATTTTCAGTTTGTGAATACCACAAACCATCACTGTTAACTTGCTCCTAAAGATACTACAGAGAGCCAACATTTAATTCCTGAGAATAAGACAATTTTGATTTTTCAGTCACGCTATAGGAACTGTTGAAAAACCTGTATTTCATTTCATCCACAATGTGAAAAGAGATCAATATAGAAAGGGGAAAATGTGAGGCAAACTTTGTAAAGACAGAATCACAAATCATATTTTAACTTCGGAATGAAATCCCTAGACCTTTATCATGGACCTCTTTAGTAAAATCTTATTAATATACATTTAAAATGTAGGGCAAGAATATGGCAAAATGGATGTAATTTAACTTTTAATTTGAATAGTCCCAGATAATTCCATCACAAAACTACCATTTTACTTTCTTTTCACCCATCTATCTCTGAAGCTTTAAAATGCAAACCTGAAAAAGCTATATGCTTACCTCCCAACTAAAAATAATAAAAGAAACAAGCTTAAGGAACAATTTGAAATACACCAGTGCTTACGTTTCAAAGCTATTATATTTAGTTGTATATCACTGAAGTTTTACTCTAAAAACTACGTGTCTTCAATTTCTCCTTTTCTTGTTTCCTCTCATCAGATTCAGTATACTTTGATTACATCATGATAAAATGTTATCTTTAAAGGAAATGATTTTATCATAGGCCTTTAACCATAAGCCAAATAACAGAATGTGGTAAAGTTTTTGAACTTTGCTAGAGGAGATATTTCTTAAGCCATAGAAATCATTGTAAAGTTCAATGAACACCTCTGACATGAAAAATGCCTTTTAACTAGCAAATACATACATCAAACCACAGATGCTCATTATAGAAATGAACAGTAGAGATTTCTTGAAGTTCTTTACAGAATTTGTACCTGTTAGGGCAAATACAACACTAAGTTTTCTAAAATCAAAATTCCTTTTAACATTTCTGTCAGACATTTAAAATTCATTCTGGGAAATAAAACATAATTTTTTTGCAATACTTTTAGGACAGAATACCTACAATATATAGGCAGTTCATAAAATTTCAGTAGCAATCAGATAAAAGCAGATACAGAAACAGTATTTTGTTGTATTGGCTCTAATGTAACATTAAGCCAACCATATTTATAATTAAAACATTAAGAACACCTGAATATTTGCACAAAAGCATAGAGCTACTGAACAACAGAACTGTCAATGAAACCGCACTAAATGAATCAAATCTCTATCCTCAAAAAACAAAAACAAAAAGAACATATCTGAATAGGAATACCAAAACATTAAACTATCTATCTATACTGAAAATAAATTCAGGTAGAAATTTTTAAAAATGAGAGAATAAATGTCTTTATTGTTTGAATTATAATTTTGTATGTTACTATTAAGTTTCATAAAGACAAGCTAAACAGAGTGATACAACCAGCAAGTACAGCTATTGAGGTAGCTGCGGGGGTATACTAACCTAAGGAAATTGTCACTTCTGAATAATTTTGTTTTTGTTTTGTTTTTTTTTTTTTTTTGTCAGTTGTGGGGCTTGAACTCTGGCCTGGGCGCTGTCCCTCGGTTCTTCAGCTCAAGGCTAGTACTTTACCACTTGAACTACATTACTTCAAGCTTTTTCTGCTTAAGTGGTGCTGAGGAATCAAACCCAGGGCCTCATGCGAGCAAGGTAAGCACTCTACCACTGAGCCACCTTCCAGCCCACTTATTAATAACTTTGTGAAACAATAAATTAATATATGTGGCCAGATGCCAGTGGCTCACACCTGTAATTTTAGCTACTCAGGAGGCTGAGATCTGAGGATCATGGTTCAAAACCAGCCCAGGCAGGAAAGTCTGTGAAACTCTTATCTCCAATAAACTACCAAAAAACCTGAAGTGGCTCTGTGGCTCAAGTGGTAGAGTGCTAGCCTTAAGCTGAAGAGCTGAGGGACAGCGCCCAGGCCCAGAGTTCAAGCCCCATGACTGAAAAAAAAATTAATATATGTTACAGTGCAAATAGAACCTCTAATGGCTTTAGACCTATGGTTGTTGATGCACACTATAAAAATGTTCCTGTCCCTAAATTGTCACAGTGAACTGCCATCTAAAAATACTTTGCTTATGGTATATGTAGTTACATTTTGTGGAGTTGAATTCACAGCGTATTGAGCCTCTTTCAGAAAAGAAGATCATTATATGGTACATTTCTTGGAATTTTTTACCTACCATAGAGCTTCATGAATACTGACTGAAGACAGCCTTAGATGACCTCACTGATGGAAGCACTAGCTGATGAAATGACCTTCCTTTACTAAAAGAAACTCATTAGTTTATTGAAATGCCTTACCAAATATGCCTAATTATGAGTGCATGCTCTTTGAAGTATACACAGAGTTGACAATATGCCCAGAATTCCCTATAGAATTTTTTATAGTTCTTTTCTAATTAACAGACTGAGATAAACAATATAACATATATCATAAAAGATATAACATGTATAAAAAACAAAGTATCTATTTACATGTACATGCACTAATGTCCATACTTCTATTCATCTAAGGAGACTGCTTGTATTTCTTGATGATGGCTGATGATTGGAAGATGAAATTTAACATTATTTCATTATAAATTCAATGTGTCCATCTTATGTATTTCACCAGACCAACAATTACTTTACCTGCCACTAATTGATGAGAAGTTTCTGAGTTAGAAATACTTTTGTTTCTTACAAAATCTAAAAACATGCTTGCAAATGTTAGAAAATGAGAGTTTCTCAAATTTATGGGCTGCCAGAATCAAATAAAATATTTCCTGTTTAAGCCACACCAATTCAACAAAGGACTCATCCTCTACCCTGGCACCCTGTCTCAGACACACCATAATTCCAAAGGAAATAAATTTGAGCAACTTATATGTCTCTAAATTAAAAGCACTGATCCTATCACTCCCCTCTCTTTTTTATTCTTTTTTTCAATCGTAAAAATACAGAGGGGTTCCAGTAACATGAGTAAGGTAATGAGTACATTTCCTATTGAGCATTGTTACCCGCTCCTTTGTTTATCCCCTACCATCCCTTCCCTCCCCAACTCCTCAACTCCTCTCCCCTGCAAGTTGAAAAGTTCGTTTTCAACATAGTGTCTTGTACATCTCATTGTTACAATGGGTCAACCTGTATCCTTATTTTGGCATTTTGTTATTTCCCTTCCCCTCCCCAAATTAGGAAAAAAAATGTGTATATAAGATGCAGGACACCAACACCAAATACAATGAAAACAGGGGTTATACCATGGGGTAAGAACATACAAAAGAAACAAAAAAATCACATAGTGCATTATAAATACGTTAGAAACAATAGCAAGAAAGAAAAAAACAGTTGTGTCCTTATTTTTGGGGTTCATTTCACTTAGCATCATCCTATATGATCATATGTACATAGCTTTTTTTGGGGGGGGGTCCGGTCGTGGGGCCTGAACTCTGGGCCTGGCTGCTGTCCCTCAGCTCTTCAGCTCAAGGCTAGCGCTCTACCACTTGAGTCACAGCACCACTTCCGGCTTTTTTCTTTTTTCTTATGTGGTGCTGAGGAATCAAACCCAGGGCCTCATGCATGCAAGTCAAGCACTCTACCACTGAGCCACCTTCCCAGCCCTGTACATAGCTTTTGACCTTTTCTGCTTGTCTCAGACATATGCTAGTTATTGCAAATAAGGGAAACCATGGGATCTATGTTTCTTTGGGCGTGGCTTACTAAATGCTCTTTTCTTGTCTATAAATTCCAGATAATGTCCTGTAGAATTCAAGGTGTTCCATAATGTGTTTCAACATTGCCAAAGCTTTGTTTGGCCTGTCTCTCCCTCTTATGCCCTACACTCCACTTGACTTTGTATCACTATGCATATTGTGGCACCTGCTAGTTATTTCTTCTTGTCATATTTCCAAACTCAATAAAACACAGCAACTCATTAAAACGATCTATGGCCAGTGACTCTCTTGAAGTGACCTTTTTCTCTGCCTTGCCTTTCAAGTTACACTCTTCTTTCTGGAAATCTTACATATGCTTTTTCATTGCTTAACGTCTTAGTCCCAAGATCTATCATCCTCACTAGACACTACCTCATTCACCTTGAACATTTTAAATACTTTTATAGATGAATTAGTTGGAAGGAATAAGAAAGCAATACTGGAAGTTAGTATTTGGGGGAGGCAATTTAATCTTTCTTGTAATTTAATATAAAATATCCTAAAGCTATAGCTTCTATATGTCTTTAGACATCTTATTATTCTAATTTAGCATGTGAAGCTTTTTCTTATGACTCAGAAATCATCTAAAAAGTAATGTTAAAACCTTTAAATTCAGTGCTACACATGCATGATTGTCCTAGTCATGTGGAAACCTTAAGAATAAAAGTGCCAGACCAGCCCTGGCAAGGATTTCTCAAGACTATATGTAAAGGCACACATCTGTCATCTCACCAACAATGTTAAGTAT